TGAGCCTGTAGCTGTAGGTGGGCTTCACAGCAATTTGTCTGTGGGTAATAGGATATTTTGTAGCTGAAGAATGAAACTTGGTTTATAGTAATATAAAAGGAAGACCACTTAATAACATTTGGTTACATTTTTGTGAACTGGTGTTCTGCTGTTACTGCTATCTAGGATTTAATTTCAGTTTGAATGGAGGAGTTGCATGCATCTGGGTGAATAAAGGACACGAGATGTATGCAATTACACCCACTGTGGTATTTGTTACAGAACAGGAGTATCTAAACTTTTAACATGTTCGTTTCACTAGTGCTGATGGAACTGTTTTCAAAATGCCAGTGATGGTACTGCTTCCTTTTTCTTTTCAAAACGAAAAGATTTATGACTGTTCTCACACTTCCATGAAACTTTTGTTTATTTTTTTAAGTGATATTACACCTCCAAGTAGATCTCTTTCTCCGAGACAAAACAAACTCCCCTGCTGTAGACTGTGAAGCCTCAGCAAATTCCAAGAGTTGTGCTTCCTGAAAGCATCTCCTTGAGTTTTGGTTTACACCTTTCTGCATTAACTAAGTAGATTTTTGTGGTGAGCTCTTTCCATTCAATTAATCTTGAAGTCAGTTTGTTTCACAGCTCCCATCAAACTGTACAGGTATTTAAAAATAACTTAGCTTTTATATTCTCCCTGTGAGAACAGATGAATGCATCCACCTCTTTGTGGGAAATGGCATTAAGGCAAATACAAGTTCTTATAAATAAGATGTGTAACTAAATATTCCTCCTTGAGATGTAGTGCTCAGCATATCACTTGCTTTCTGTAAGGGAGATTGCAAATATCTGGACCTCACTTAAATTCAGATTTGCTTGCTATTTAGAAATGGAGGCAGCTATGTCTTATTCCAGAGTCTGCATGAAACTGCAAGAACGGAGTTAGTATTAAATCCAGAATTTGACTTGTCTTCTACCCTGTGTTTTCCATGACAGAACTTAGAGCACCTCTGAGGGCTCTGTGTTGATGGACTTTTAATTACGGTACATACAGCGATGCCTTTTTCCCTATTTTCCCTCCAAGTAAAGTTTCTTCTGTACAGGACGCTTCCATTTAGCTACCCTTGCTTCTGTCCCCGCAGGCTTTCAGGTCTCTAGCCTGATCCTCCTGGTCATGCAATATGATGACTAGAGTGTGTATTTTGGTGGTTTTTTTTTTTTAATTTTTAAATGTGGCTTTAGGAAAAAGTAACACAACTTTGTGCAGCCTGGTAGCTGACTGCTTAATAGGAGGCTCCCTGGGTTCCAGCCATACTAGTCTTTACTTCCTTTCGAAGGAATTTGACAGGGTGGCTCACCGTATTTGCTTGTTACTCCCCCAGTATGGCTGGGGAAGTTACTATTTGGAAAGTTTTCCATTAGTTGAATTGTGACGTGAGTGATACCTGCTTTTGCCTTAAAACCTTGGATTCCCATCCAAGGTGTAAGGACTTCTAAAGAAATCTCTGTGAGAGAAATGAACTTGGAAATCAGCAGTTCAGTGGCAGCAGTACTGTACCATGGAACTTCAGGATTTTTTTTCCTTTGTTATGTTTTGTTTGAGTTCCTTTCCCAAACTCTCTCATTCCACACTAGGAGCCCAGGCATGTGTTTCCCCGGGCAGAAGCACAGAACAAATGCCTGCAGAGGTATTCTGTCTTCTGATAAAACAAAGCCAGGCGGATTTTGGTCATTGAGAGTCACAAAGGCTTGTCTGCTCCTTCCCAAGTAGGTATTGGGGAAAAAAGGAAGAAAGCCTGAATTCAGCATGAGGTGACAGTATTTAAAAAAAAAAAAAAGGCCAGAAAAAGTAACAACAACAAAAAAAAAAACCCAAAACAAAGTGAATAAAGCCCCACCTGGCTGTGAAAATCTTCTGACCAGAGAACTGCCCCTGTCACACAGCTTGGCAGGTAGCTTTGTAAACCCTCAAAAGTACATCCCTGATGTGTGAGGGTTGATCCTCTGGCTGTTGAGAGGCGTAAATAGCCAATGAAAGAGGTTGCCCAGCCCCCTGACACGGTTCCTCTGCGCAGGGAGTGAACCTTGTCCGCTGCAGGGGAGTGGAAATGTCCCTTCTCCTACAGGGAAAGGTCCCAGGCTGAAAGCTGAGTTACTGCTGCTGCCATTGAGAGGCGATTGCTTTTACAAGGAAATAAACCCATCTATTTCCTTCTCGTCTGATTTAATGTTTTGCAGCCATCTCTCTTTTTATTGCATTCAGAACTGTTTAATGGCTCATTTAAGGTAATTAGTTTTAAATGGGAAATGGGCAGAGGTTAATTAGATGGACTAAAGTTTTCACATTGGCACTTTGAATTAAGGCAAATGAACGTGACTTTTGGAGTAATGTGATCTTCTAATCGCTTATGATAACATCAGTTACGAATGTAAAAGCTGAAGGTTTCAATTTTTGTCTCTTTTTTTTCAGGCAGGTTGGTTGAGTCAATGAATAACGTGCATTGTTAAAACTGTACGTTGAAGGGAAACATATGGTTTTCCTGCCTGAAGACTGTACAAGTATTATATTGTGCTTTTAAAACCAAAACAAATTGAGAAGTTTGACTGAATGTCAACAAGTGATTATGATCTTAATTGAAACTGGTCTGCAGTACTTGCATTTAATGGTGGAGTTCATAATGTGGTCTAAAAAATTAGATGGTAATGAAGGTATTAAGAGTAATGAGTACCTTTGTGGATTTCTACTTCCTTTCTGAAACGGGGTTCCTGGGGAGAAATGCTCTTGTAATTGGTGATATTTTATGGTCTCGTATGTATCCAGGTGGAGACATTTTTGGTGTGATTAAAAAAAAAAATTTTTCTCATCTTATTTGCCTGTCCCAAATCCATCCATGCAGTTTCAAACACTTATTACCTCCTTTAAAAGGCAGTGGTGTGGATGCAGGCTCATAATTGAGGGCTGTACAGTACTTTCCCACCACAGCTTTGCTCTCTCCAGAGAGCAAAATCTGGCTGCATTTACTTTATCAGCACCTGGGTGAAAGGGGGGAATCTTAAACTAGAATTTCAAAATGTGTCTTAAATTTATTCAGATTCGTAAAAAGCATTGCTGCTTTGTTGGGTGCTACTCAGCTGCCCTCCTGAAATGTTGTCTTCCCCCTCGAGTCACTGAAAAGTCACTAAACTGGGATTTCACAGCCTGTTTGGAAAAAACAAAAACAAAAACAAAAGCCACAAACCCTGCTGGAGTGGGCTCCGCTGGAGGCAGCGGCAGCAGGGATGCCTGTCCTGCAGGGAAGGGGCATCGTGGTGGGAGACTCTTGCTGAGGCTCAGCTCTTTGCAACGGGATGTTGGGTAAAGGAGAACATCGGGACACTTCTCTGGACAAGTGCCTGGCCACCTGTTTTGCTGTCATGCTTGCTTTACCTGTTGTCTCTTAACTGCTTTTCCCCCAAAACAAGGACAGTGTAATATGAAGGTGGAAGCAACAGCTACAGCCGAAAAAGGCAGCATTCGCAATTCGAAGACGGTGAGAGTAAGGGCATGTTGGAGTAAAGGAAGTATGACCTGAGAAGAAAAATTAATGTCAGGTTGCATAACACAGGCTACGTTGAGGAGGTTCTATCAGATGCTGGCTCTTTTTTAAAAAAGCAGACTACGCAGGCAGGTTTGACCTTCAAGGTTCTCTAGTAGTAATTTAACCTTTTTCTTTAGGATATAATGTGATGCTTGTGTGTCCTTATTAAGGGTTGTCAGCTGTGATTAACTTACTTATGTAGTAATTTAACCTTTTTCTTTAGGGTATAATGTGAAGCTTGTGTGTCCCTATTAAGGGTTGTAAGCCATGATTAACTTAGACTCAAGCTTGTTGCCCATGGATCTGCTTTGACAGAATAAATTGACAGTAGGCTTCAGATCTAGTAAACTTCCTTAGTTTCCTCAGTGTGGGCAGGGAAGGTGTGGTGAATGTCAGGATCAGATCTGCTTCCTTCCTCCCCGAGTTCTTGAGGCCTTCTGTGGACATAAACCGGCATGTAGCGGGGTGCCTGCATCTCCCTCATTGGGGTAGTAGTGGTTTGTATGGGCGTAGCACTAGGCTTCTCCATAAACCTGTGGCGCTTCCATACTGAAGTGTTACATTCCTAGATGACCTTTTTAAAAATCTTAGTTCCTATTTAATTTTCTGCTTGGTAAGTATGGACTGAGAGGTTACTATTCTGATGATTGTGTTATTTAAAAAACTCAAATGACTGATGTGTTCTTGTTAATTCTGGCAAATACAAAGCTGATAAATTTTTTGCACAGTTAAGGCTCCACATGGTCTTTGCTGCTTCTAGTTTATAATTAACTCTGCAAAACAGTCATGAGGCATTAAGAGCGTAATTCATGCTGGAACATTCTCTTGTCAGAAGGCTGTGATCTCTTACTGATGGCGTGTTGACCTGAACCCTTACAAGTGATAAATGGACTGCTACGCTATTTAAATATGTGATGATCCTGTTGATGTATTTCCCTTCCTTCAGTATTTGTAGGATGGGGACATGAAATGTAAGTGCATTCAGTTCTAACCTGTAATCCTTACTATGGAAGTAGAATATATGTAGTTCCCCAAACAGACTTGAGTCTGTGAAGTCACTTTTAAATTTTTAAAAACATTCTTGATTCAATTTCTTTTTCTCCTATTAGTTTGTAGCAGAGCACTGTTCTTTAACACAAATGTGAGAAAAGAACTAAAACTATTTAAACTTATTAAATGATAGTGCGACTCTTGCTGCAGAAAGTGGGAGTTCTGAGAAAAATACGGATCAACTTTCACATGATAAAGCTGACTTGGCAAAAATGGATTTGTGGAGGAATAGCGAGGCAGAGCAGGATGAATTAAGGCAGATCAGCTGTGGAAGACAAGGCAACTAACTTTATATGACTCATGCATATTACTGTAGTGGTATTTGATATGAGAGTGCTGTGCTGAGGCCGTTGGGACATACTACCATGATCTTGTGAAGTTGCATTTCTCTAGAAGTGCTCTTGAAAATGGAGTAGGGATATCTGGACCAGAAACTTCCTTGAAAGCTTCTCATTATTCTCTGTGCTGACCTCATTGGTGTTATACGTTACTCAGAAAGTCATACATGTAAGATCAGACTTGCCCTACATTGGGAATCGATTGGGTTAGAGGCAGAAGTCAACACTTAAGTAAATGCTATGTTGAAATGGAACAGCCAAATGAACGTTTCAAAGTACTTTGTATTCAGGAGGTGGAAAACTTTATTTGAAGTTGCCCATTGCAATGTAAGCCCATGGAATAAGTTAAGTGGAGATGGAAAAATGATTGCAGCTAGCAGTACTTTTCCTTAGGGGCTCATATTGACAAGAAAAGTAAGAATGATATTTAAAAAATAAAGGGAACTGCTGTTCTTGCAGTTTGCCTTTGGTGGTAACTTCTTAAGCCCCTACGTCTACTGTATGACTGAAATGTGTTAGGCTGCCATAGACTGTCGGTAGTGTGTGCACACCTAGCCTGCCTCTAGTTATGAGGTGATGCCAGCTAAACTTAAAAAAAAATATGAATAATGAAACTCTGCTATTACAGAAAAATCAGAACTGGAATGAGGAGCTAGTTAAACACCACTCCTGTGTCCATCCCAGGGCTGTGTTTGCTGGGGCTGGGGAATGGTTATGCACAGGGGTGACAGATGTATAATAGCAATGGACCAAATGCATCCTGCATGGTTTTTTTCTTCCTCTTTCTTGTCTGATAGAACATCCATTATATTCTGAAGAACTCCTTGTTCCAGATTTCAGATCTGCACCTGCCTTTAGAGTAAGGGTGGTGCAGCTTGCTTCTTGCCGTGTCTGCCTAGCTCTAGGTGAGTGTCCCAAGTCTTCCTGCTGGTGCAGCAAGCAGCTGTCTGTGGTGTGGATGGGTTCTCCGGGCAGCCCTGGCCTGTGTTTTTCTCATTTCTCTGTTTGTGTTTGCTTGTGCAGTATGTTCTGGGGCAGGGTCCATGTAACCCTATGGTGTATTGATGGAGGCAGCCTTGCTGAAGGGTTGTTAATAACCCATGCAGAAGTAGTGCTCTTGAAACCCATGCTGTAAATCAGTGCAACCGGTTGATAGGTGCTGAAGCTGGGGATTAAAGGATCCTTAATTGTGAAGTACTTTTATGTGAGTGTCTTGAATGGCCACATTGTTTATCAGACTCTGCAGGGAGTCTTGGCTTTGGCTTTCAACTAAGCAACTAATCTTCAGGGCACAGTAGCTTAATTCTTCATCTGTTTAAATTTACCTCCAACTCGGCGATAGTACAATCACCAGGCACCTGCTTTTAGCTGAAGTGTTTAAATTGTGCAGGGTTCCTGTAGGGTGGAATGCTGCACAGCCCGTCAGCCCAGCGCTGAGCTGAGCCTACCCTCTTCAAAACTCTGGTTGCAGTTGCAACTTCGTTTAATCGGAATACTGTCATAAGGAAGAATTCTGTGGGATGTTGGCAATGTGATTTACTGGCTGTCAGCAGCGTGCTTGCCTCTCTTCCTTAAATCAGTCTCAAACAGTTTTAATCTGCAGCAGTTTGTACTGAAGGCTTGTGAATGCATCCTTTTTTTTTTTTTTTTTCCTCCTTGTGTTTTTTTTTTTGCCCCCCGTGAAGTGAAGGGCCATGAAGATGGTTATGGGCTTGGAGCGTGGTGTGAGGTGCAGGGAGAGGCTGAGAGAGATGGGGTTATTCAGTCTCTGAAAGAGGCAGCTCAGGGGATCTTGGCAACATGTATTAATGCCTGGTGGGGGAGGTAAAGGAGGAGTCATCAGACACTTCTCTGTGATGCACAGAGAGGACAAGAGGCAGTCTTGTCAAATTTAAATAGAGGAAGACTTTCCCATTGAAGAGTGAATTCCTTCTTGTAATACTCTGTATCCTTCAGCTGCTCACGAAATCATGCTGGCTTGAAGCCTAACACTGTTCCTAAAGAAGTATGTCTAATTCTGTACTGTTGTGAATGGAATCACTGTGTGGCTATTTACTTGACTGTGACCTACCTGTTTGTTTGTGGTATGATAAAAATCATAAAATTACAGCAGGGTTTGGGTTGGAAGGGACCTTAAAGACCATCTAGTTCCAACCCCCCTGCCATGGGCAGGGACACCTTCCACTAGACCAGGTTGCTCAAAGCCTCATCCAGCCTGGCCTTGAACACTTCCAGGGATGGGGCATCCACAGCTTCTCTGGGCAACCTGTTCCAGTGCCTCACCATCCTCTCCGGGAAGAATTTCTTCCTTATGTCTAAAATACATTGACTTTTCCTGTGTTCCTAAAAACTTTGAGTGCTATCAACCAGAAATCATAGATAATTTCATGTCTACATACTTAGTTTAAAAATAATTGAGGTTACTTTCGATTATGGGCAGGTTATGCAGTAATCATTACTGAGTAAGTGGTTTCAGGGCCTTTGCTATAATTGTACTGAGCGTATGAGGGAGAAGGCGATAGCTTACTAATGCTCAAATTTGCTGTTTTATCTTTCAGAGCTGTTGAGTCCCAGATTGAGGGACAGTGTGCCCCAGTGGACTCCCTGTGGCGACGTTACAGTGAATTTGAGTTGCTGCGGAATTATTTGTCAGTAACCTATCCCCATGTTGTTGTTCCACCTTTGCCAGAAAAAAGGGTAAGGAAGCTGAGGCTGCAGCTTGCTTTGTATTGTTTGTTATTTACTTACTATTAACACTCTTCTGTTCAAATAGGCTGACTTTGTTTGGCATAAGCTGTCAGCAGATAATATGGATCCAGATTTTGTGGAAAGACGAAGAATTGGTTTGGAAAACTTCTTGTTACGTGTGGCTTCACATCCTGTTCTTTGCCAAGACAAAATCTTTTATTCATTTTTAACACAGGTATAGTAAAGTCATGTGCTCTCTAAAGATGTTCTTTAATGATTATCTATTTGTGATAACGTCCTTTTGTCCTTCTTCCTTCCCACTGACCCACAGGTGGTTCTGTGTCTAGAAGGAGGATAGAGAACGTGAATAAACTTGAGGTGGAAAAGGCTTGTCCGTCTAAAAGCTTTGTAAGAGCCTGCTGCAGTTTTACAATTGGCCTTCTAATGTACCTTATGACTTTTTTCCAGTCTAGTTTTAAGGCTCCTAAGAGAGAATTTCCACCTCTTTGGAACAGCATATTGGGAACTTAATGTGTGTTGTTTGGGAAAGCTTCCCTAGGACTAAAGCCGACATAGTTAGCATGCTAAACTACTGGCTGCAGAGGCAGTACTGACTTCCAATTCACTTCTTGCATATCCATGGTTTCTTCAGCTTTGTAGTTTGAGTCATGATCCACGCATATGTGTCGTGGTCCAAAACCAGTGCAACGTGTTATCGCAGAAGTTGTGATCCAGTTGTCAGCTAAAGCATTGCATTCTGCAGTTTACAGCTTCAGGGGATGTTGGATATTTCTTTTTTCTGTACTTTGATGAGAGATTCCCAAATAGCAGACCGAGCAGGTATGTTTACCACAGCACGGTGTAGTCTGTAGGTGAACCAATGTGTGGGAAGTGAGAACAGTGGACAGCCAACCACTGCGTATGAGCGAGGTGATTGTGTGTGCACTGTAAAGAGTGCAAAAGGTCCTTGGAGCTGCTGCTAATCTACTAAGCAGTAGATGGTAACTATCCTTCTTTCTGAAGAGCTGAGTTGCTTCTTTAGACAAGGCTGTGTGGCTCCTGCCCCCAGTTGATAGAATGAGGTAGCAGAGTAGTGAAGAGGACAGATTTATTTTTAGGGGAGGTTAGTATGTAAGCAAAACACAATGCCATCTTATTCTTCACCCAGATTCTTGAAAAGACATGGGGAGGGTAGCTGAGACAGAACCCAGGCTTACTGGGGAAGCTGTTCTGATACAGGGACTTGCAAAAGCTGTGGCACTCTTCAATCACTCTAACTGAATGTTCTTTTTCTGTATTTTTAGGAAGGTGGATGGAAAGAAATGGTGAATGAGACTGGATTTCAATTAAAGGTAATTACTGTAATGGTTTGTTTTATGACTGCTGTGACACAGAAATACTCCAGCAAACATGTTTTAGGCTATTTAATAAAGGCTGTTTGCTATTAAAGGCATTGGTTTATGTATACTTATAACTACAAAAAAGTGGTGTTCTTAGCATGTAATAGGTAAGACATCAGTTGCTAAGTAATCTAGCAGGCTTGTTATTATATGCCTATGTTTGATGCTCAGCCTTGTAATTCGGCTAGTAATGTAGAATTGTGATCCTTTAAAACTAGCCAGCTTGAGCCCAAGCAGTGCTTTTGTCTGTTGTCAGTTTAGTTGAGTGTTGTTTTAAAGATGTGTGTCAGATTTAGGTTGGCAGGAGGTGCAGGGTGTCCAAAAAACAGGCAAGCAAAGGAGTGTCTTGTAGGACTTTTCTACGCAGATAAGTTGCTGAAAGGGACTGACATGAATTTGATGCCCCTTAAGTGTTTTAACAGAATGTGTCTTGTGGTAGTACTATCCTCACTGACATCAGTGAGTTTGTGGCTGGGCAAACTGGTAGAAGATTTGCAGGAATAACAGATCAAAAGTCGTGTCTCTGTATGCTGTGTCTGGAACTGTTACTGTATGGGGACAAATACTGAGCTTTTGTTTCATTGTAACGTGAACAACTCATGAAATCACAGCTGAAAATTAAGTGGATGATGAAGAATTATTCTGAATGGTGAGAGCTAAAGAAAATTACTGGTGCCCTTATCCTCAGCATCCAAGGGCTTTGATACTGAGACTTAGTGTTGATAAGTTGATAATGATTCCCTTCCATCGTGGTAGAGCTTGCACATTGCTAGTATTCATAATGCAAAAACCGTAAAGCTCTCAAGCTGTGTTTTCCTAGCCAACACACCTTTTTTTCAGCTTACACTCACCGGAGTCCAGAACGCTTGTGCTGGCAGGCTGCGTTCAGGGGTGCACGGTGGTGTGTGTATGAAAGATGAACATTTGCCTCCCTGAAACCATATTGTAGATTAAATGACACGTGAGCAAGTCCTGTTTCCTTCTAGGTTTGGTTGTGTACAGTTTCCCTTTTACAGTTCCTGTTTCCTTAGGAAAGAAAAATAACTTTCTGCAAAAAGGCTGGGAAAAATCATCTTTCCTTTATTCAACATCTGAAGTATAAACCCCCCAAGATAGGAGGTTATTTAGCACGACACTGGAGGACAAACCTCTATTCACTCTACATATCTTAGACTCGAATCACACCACTGTTTTACGTGCTGCTGCTGAGTCTGCTGCTGATGCATTAAAGCAGGATGTGTCTTTTGTCCCAGAGGGTTGGAACGAGGCTAACTAAACTTCAAATTAGGCATTAATGCAGTGTAGCATGTTAGAGTTGAATGTTGATGTCAGACTTTGTTTACTCTGCCAACTGTATCGTTAAATCATGCCTTTCCTCCCTCCCACCCCCAGCACTTAGTTTTATTCTTTAAGGGATTTGTTGCTTGGGATTTTAACCTTTCCTTTAGGACGGAGAAAATTCCCATTTCCCTTTAGCATACTTAAGTGATTATAGGATCATAATAAGAATTAACTGTCTGAAAGCTCCCCGACTGTACCTCACTTGATGGGGAGTTCATCTCTAAACGGCTTGTGTGTGTTTGTCTTAAGTTTGACCGGACAGACGTTTTTCTGACAGCGTAACCGCGTGGTGCAGATGCTCAGAAGTGGTGTGTGGGAGTTGCTGCGCTGTTAACGGCAAGAAGGAAATAACCCTGCTTAGGATCTTGGTTCCTGCCTGACAGTGCTGGTTCAGTAAGGGAACTGCTCCTTCAGAGCACTGCATCTTGCTGGAACAAAGGCAGAAACTTGTCCTGTAACAGACATGCAGCAAGTGATCCTTCTCCAGAGTAAACCTGTTGGATGCGCGTGCTGCCCAGCAGACTCAAACGGTGCTGGCACTGCTGTTTGAACAGAAATACGGTGTTTTGTGAATTAGCTGCTTAGAAGAGAGGACCCAGGTTTAATACCAGTGTACGTAGGTGGTGTTTGTGCTGTGAGGTGAGGAGTACGCGTAGGTGCGTCTGAATGACCTGACTCGCTGGGATGTAGCAGGGGAGGTCCAAGGCCATACAAGCCTGTGGAGCACTCTGAATAAACATAAAGACTGGGACTTGGAGTTACTGCCGTGTTTTGTGTTCCTTGCGTTGTCTTGGGCATCCTTTCCCAGGCTGCCTTTGTCTTCCCTGTGCGAGTTATTCTTAGAGGAGCGCTGAGTGCAGCAGCGGCAGCGAACCGGTTTTCTTCCCATGTCAGTCTGAGTCTTGCAGGTTTTGTCCGCTTACCTTTTGGTTTGTGGATGATGTTTTGTGTTGGTGGCTTGGTGACTGGAAGAAGTACAAATAAAGTTAGCAAGATTTCCATCAGTACCTCTTATCCTAGTTGCAGGAAATAAGGTGCCTTTCCCTCAGCTTGGATGCTTTCCTAAGTGTCCTCCAGGTATAGGGGTGGTTCCAGGTGAAAGGAACTTGCAGTGGTATTCAAGTGGGGGTATCTTCCGCTCACCCCCAGTGCAGTGGGAGGTGAAAGTCTCAAACTATGCTTGTCTCATCTGTAGAAGTTATTACAGGGACCCAAAGGAAGTACTCTGTTCTTGGTTTGGGAAAACACTGTGTTCCCATCACTGTCAAATTCAAAATAGCTCTTCAAGCTCTGAGTTGGCTGTAACGGTGCACAAAATATTCCTGTGTCATATACCAGCACTAAAACACTGCTGAAGTAACTTTCTGCTAGCAGTTGTGGCATAGTCTGTTAGCTATAAGAGTACACTTTAGGAAATCTGTACACCTCACGAGAAGTGTTTTGGTTTTCTTTCCCTGAAGAGAGGGGTGTTTTGATCAAAAGTCAACTGCAGTCATTCTCCTGGAGTCAGAGTTTTCATGCAGTATAGATGAGCCATGAGTGAGCTATATGTAAAATGAAAAGGGGTGGTGATGTGGGACTTCTGTGGATGAGGCTGGGATATCTTATCTGTGTTGGTGTCTTATTAAAATACCCATTGTGCAGTTTAATGTTCAGCTAAGTGAAGAAAAAAACCAACCTGACCCCAAAACCACTTCCTTAGAGAGGTTCCATACTGCTGCTGCAGTCCTTGGTAAACCAAGGTCTCAAAAAGAAAAGTAGCCTATTACCTTTTTAATCAGGTATTGAACTTTATTCCTTAGAGATGTTTATATGCTGTGTTATAGAAAAGAACATTGCATTAAAAGTGGTCCTAGTCTGATAGACAAATTACATATTTTCTGTAAAGCAAGTCATAAAACAAGAGAACACCATATATAAGATTTTGATTTCACTGGGGAACTGTTCCTAGTAATAAAGAGCATATAGAGGTCACTCTACCACTGGTTTTATTTAGTTTGAAAAATACAGAATAGTTTGTCCATATGGTCTTATGTTACCTAATTGCTTCATCTAAAAAGAATGTAGGGTTGTGTATCTTAACTCCATGATTTGTGTAACATTTTAAGAAGGGACTATTTTTATGGGATTTGGATTATACCATCTTAATTTTAGTGGATACTGTTTACATCCTAGTTCACAAAAACAACTTAGGTTTTTGACTTTTTAATAAAAGTATCTGACATGCAGGGCAGCTAGTGTCAACTTGTTCAATGTTTGAAGATTTAAATACTCCAGGAAGGCAGAATTTTTTTTCTAATGGTGCTGCCAGAAGGCTGAAATTTTTTTGTCACTGAAATTTAACTGCGTTAAATTAACAAAGCTTTTTTTCCCCTTTTTTCAGGCAGATTCCAGATTAAAAGCTCTTAATGCAACATTCAGAGTGAAAAACCCAGACAAGTAAGATTCCACATCCTTCCTCCCTCCCTTTCCCTTTTTCAGTTACAACGGTAACTTCAGATGACAGAATATTCTATATCCTTAGAATAAATTCAGGAAAGAAAAATTATCTTTCTGCACTTCAGATCTTAACAGAAGCCTAGTAAGGAGGTAGTGTGAAAAGGTTTGATAAATCCTGTTTCTAGAAGCAGGAAATGTTCAGAAAAATGCCATCACTTTATGCAAAACGAGTCTTTCAGTTTTAGTTAGATTAAAAGGAAGGGAAAAAAAATCCCAGACTTAGAAAAAGAACCTCTTAATATTTGTTTGTAACAAAATCTTTACAAGCATGAACAGAATACAGGTCGATAATAACGAGTCCAGAGGAGGCCATGAAGATGCTCCGAGGGCTGGAGCCCCTCTGATATGGGGACAGGCTGAGAGAGTTGGGCGTGTTCAGCCTGGAGAAGAGAAGGCTCCGGGGAGACCTTATAGCACCTTCCAGTGCCTGAAGAGGCTACAAGGAAGCTGGGGGGGGGACTTTTTACAAGGGCCTGTAGTGACAGGACAAGGGGTAATGGGTTTAAATGGAAAGTGGGGAGGTTTAGATTGGAGATCAGGAAGAAGTTCTTCCCGCAGAGGGGGGTGAGGCACTGGCACAGGTTGCCCAGAGAAGCTGTGGATGCCCCATCCCTGGAAGGGTTAAGGCCAGGCTGGATGAGGCTTTGAGCAACCTGGTCTAGGGGAAGGTGTCCCTGCCCATGGCAGGGGGGTTGGAACTAGGTGGTCTCTGAGGTCCTTTCAACCCAAACCATTCTGTGATTCTATAATAGGTCTTTCCAAAAATCCACTAGCATGCCATTCTGGATGTGTGCACCCTGCTGTGGCAGTTTGTAGTTCTCCTCAAGCTGCCAGATTTCACAGATGCTTTGGGAAGTCTGGAGGTCAGTTTGGCTCTGTCGCAGTTTAAGAAGCTCTGGGACAGGCAGATCCAGCATCTGCTGGATCAAAAAACCGCTCAGAAGCTTAAGGGTGTGTAGTGGGAGGCTTATCACACCTTAGCTGATGTGAGGAGGGTACAGTGAGAGCTTCTACTTCTCCAGTGGTTAGAAGCACTGGTGTGCAGCAGTAGGGTGACGAGGTGTTGCCGTTAGCCACCTGTGAGCAGCGGAGACCTGTACCAAGTGCCCTCTGGGCTCACCCGCTGTCCAGTAGCGGCAGTAGGAGATTTAGGGAGAGCCCACGCACCTGACTGCTTTCTGTTGACTGTTCCCTTTGTGCTTCCCTCCATCTGTGGGTATTGTATTAAGGACATTAGAGGGTACATACCTTTCTAAACCTCTGTTTTTATTTGCTTTGCTTTTGCAGCCTTCTGTGGCAGCAAGGAAGCTTTTAGCTGGGGTTTCATAGGAAGGATAACATTCATGGATAAGGGCAAAAGACAACAGTCCTCTTGGTAGCTACAGGTGAAATTTGCCCCTTGTCTGAATGCTTCATCCTCCGTCATCTCTGTGGCCAGCAGGAGTTGGCTTCTCCTGCTTTCACAGCGGGGAAACTTGGCCAGTGGTCAGCCTCGAGATGGACGGACAAGGCTGGCTAAGATTAAGTCGAGGAATAGGTGGTTATTTTTCGAGGTAACTTAATGTTTCAGAAAGCAAAGCTGGTGTGAGAAGTGGCTTGGTAAAAAGCAGGAAAAGAGTTAATACAAGGAAAACATGAGGAAAGGCAGACAAAGTCCCGAGTATCTGTCTCTGAACCAAGACTTCACGGCACTCAGGAGAGATGGCACATGCTTTCTCTGGTTTACCTTTGGTGCTTGTGGGACTGGGTGGCAAAGTGGGTCAAGCAAGCTCACCTTGCTGAAACAAAAGATCTGACCAAGCGTAGGCTTTCAGGTTCCTGGACTGGGAAGGGTTCAGGTGAAGAATAGCTGCAGCTCTCGGTCCAAACTGCAGTGGAGCTGCACCCTTCAGGTTAGGGCAACCGGAGGAGCGTTAAACAGCTGAAACAATGTTGCTGGGGGAGTTTAAATGTAGACTGGAAACCAAACCTCCTCCTGTGGGAAGCAATTAATATCTTCAATGGGGGAGTTTTGTGGTGATAAAAAATATGGTATTCTGGTACTCGGAGGTAAATTTGGATGCACTGCAGACCTCAAATTAGCCTCGTGGCACCCATCCTCTTCTTATACTTCTTGGTTTTAATCAAAACACAAGCTTTCATCATGGTGAAAGCTTTCTTTAGAAAACACTAAATCCTTTCCTAGGGCAGGTGTGTGTGTTTGGTGTTTTGTTTTTTTGTTTTTTTTTAAGTAACTCTCCTTTTTTGCCTCTAGTTAGTCAGACAAGTGGCTTGTCCTTTAGTGAACAGTCCTAGTCTTGTAATTTCTTCCTTCACAAAACAGGAAAATGGTGCTGCCCACCCTGATAATGGGAGGAGTAATGCACAAAGTAAATAGCTTATATGCAATGCTGTCTACTGCTGTAAATGGAATTTTCTTCTTTGACATTATCCTCAAAAATATCTTTTATAAGCCTGGTGGTACCCATTCAGCGATGTGACCTGATCCGTTCTTCATTTATATCCGATGTGCTACTTAATAGCTCAAGCTTCTTTTTAATATTTAGACTGTTGGTAATGTTGCAGAACCAGAGAAACCAATGGAAAAGCACTAGGTTTGCTTTAGTTACGGAGTGCCAAAACTCTTGTCTTGGTTCACACTTCTGGTGTTATGATGCGCTGGAAAGTGGGCGCCCCTTGGTGTGCCTTGCCGAGCTCGATGTGGAAATTACTTCATACTGACATGAATTTTTTTGAATGAGTAATGAGTAGAACTTAAGCAAATGCAGATCAAAGGTTTATTTCTCAAGTAACGCCACCAGTCTCTTAAATTTATTTTTTTTCCTAATAACTGGTATTTGTGAAACTTTCAACCTTCACAAAACATGAGGGGAAAAAAATAGCATCGCTTTGGTTTTTGCTTTTTGGAAACAGTAGAAGGAAGACAGCTTGGTTCTGAAGTAGTTATTTCCTTTTTAGATTATTATTATTATTTTAATTTTTAATGGAGGAGGAGTTGGCATGGGAGATGATCTATTGCTGCTGGAGTCCAGGATACTGAAAGTTCTTGTAGGTTCCCAACTCTTGCCTTTAGGGAGTACGGTATTCCTAAAAGCTTTCTTGACACAAAGCAGGATAAATAAAGCTTTTCATTATAAATTTCTGGAGTGGAAAGGGGAGTGAGCCTTCCTGAGCTGAAGGCATGCTTTTTAATCTTTTGGTTTTAGTTCAGTTATTTCAAATATCTTCACTGTACGTGTCTGCAGCTGTCCGACATGCAGCCCTGGTGCATATTTTATAAAGTGTAAACTGAAAAGATTGCTCTCTAAACCCCACTGTGCAGATCAATGACTGTACTTACTTTTCCCATACAGTTTCTCTGCTGGCTTTTAAATCTTTGTGTGTACTTTAACCCTGTGTGTGTCATAATCTTATAAAAGATGCTCCTTGGAGATCAAAACTATTAGGAATGTCAATAAAGCTTCTATTTCCTGAATGTAAGGGGGAGAATATTTTAGGGGAAGACTTCCTGGAAGGGGAAGAAGAGGTGTTAAATGAAAAACCTTGGAATGTCATAAGTGGTCACCCAAAACAAGTGACCTGACTCATTTCAGTAAGACCGCTTGGGTACAAACTGTTCTGAAATACAAAGCCTGACTGTGTGCCTGTGGTGGGAGGAGGAGTGAAGGTTCGAATGCTTGAACACCAACCTGGAGGGCTAATCTTAGTCTCCCATTCCTTAATTCTAGTTGTGTTCTTCTGCGTTTGGTTATTTTAATCCCATTGTTTAGTCATTTAGGTAAAGCTGTTTCTGGCTTCCCATCTGGATGCATGTCCCAAAGTAGGATGTGTGTGAGGTTGGTTTGTAGGAAGGAGGGTTTACGTATACAGAAGGGGCTGTTGCTGTGGCTTACTTTGGTTACCTGTCACTAGCAGAGCTGTGGCAACGGATTCGGCTTTGTCATTAGTATGATCTGGGTGTATTAACTTCAACTGGGCTGGGGGATAAAACGCCTCTTTCCTTCAGTGGTGGCAGGCCAGCAGCGTGCACGTGGTCGCTGGCGGTGGGTTACCTGACTGGTACCTTGCTAAGGTGCAGAGACTTGATTGCTCTTAGCCATGACTGACTCCTGTGAAGGTATAGGTCTCAGCAGGGGTTTTGGTTACCGTACGACTTGACCTTGGGGGAACTGTGGTAATTGTGAAAGCTTCCTTGAACTTCTGAAAGCTTATACTCAAAACTGGCTAGCTGGCAGCTTGAAAGTGAAGTGTCTTTGTTAGGTTGGAAATGTGACCCCATTTTTATTAAGAAGTATGTATGCTTCAGCAGATTTTGGCTTTGTACTTGGAGCTTTCCTATTCACTCATGCTTGCTTTTATAAATCCCCTTTTGGAAAGAAACCCAAGACAATGATGTAGTAATTTCAGTTAACTACTTATATTTCATAAATATTTCTCTTACATTGTTCTGAACCTTCATTGTTTACATAATAATAATAAAAAAAAGGCAGTTATGCAAGTGGTGGGTTGTTCACTTTAGGGAAATTAAACTCTGCAGTCGCTTCTTTAGGAGTCTTCAGCTAATTCCACCTCAACACAGTCCAGGCTCCATCTCGCTGGCTGCAGCGTCGTGGCTCTCGCCTGCGTTGTGCGAAAGCTTGCTTTCGTGGTGGCTAATGATGTACTATCTGTTTCCTGCTCCCAGGAGGTTTACTGAGCTAAAACACTATAGCGATGAACTGCAGTCTGTCATATCACACCTTCTGCGAGTCAGAGCTGTAAGTATCTCCCCTGTGTGTCGTGACAAACTGTTATTTATTTCTAAGGCAGTATTTCTTGTTTAGGCAAGAGAACGTATGTGTGCTCTAGAATAAGGGCAGTTTTGCCTGAGAGAGCATGGGGCAGGAGATGGCAAGGGTGGGGGGGATGTGTTGACTTAGTACAGGTTTGAGGCAGGAAGGAGTCCCAAATGTGGTGGCTGAGTTTGACAGTCACTGGAGGAGCAAACACGTGCGTGTTGCTAATCCGCCCTCTCCCCTGATGGTGGCATATCAGGGGGAGGTGTGTGAAAGAGGATCGAGTCTGTCGAAAGAGGATCAAAAGTCTGCCTCTCTCCACTCAGTAGACAAATCGCTTTTGCTGGATGGCTGGGCTGGGAAGGGCCCCAAAACACAGTTTTCTCTTCAGACATGTAATACTTTGTTTTCCAGAGCTTGTAGTATGACTCGTGTATGCTTCCCAGCCCACTTTTTTTGGCTCGTTCTTCAATCTGTAATGAATAATGTTCTTTCTAATGACGAGAACAATTATGTCATGCATCAAGATACTCTGTGGGTTGAGAATGGAAGACTTTCTTTAAAGTAACAAGAAGGAAATAGGGAATTACAATTCCAGTAATGAGGAGCATGATACTAAAAAGCAGTATGTTGGACAGGGATTTGGGTTTTAATGGAAACTGTGGGGCAGGGAGGGTGGTAATGGATTGCCCTGTTGAGCTGCGGTTCTCGAGAGGATTAATCGTTGGTGTCCTGCTGGCAGTGCCTTTTTCTCAGGGCTGTATGTGCATGAGATCTGTTGGGCAATTTGCTTGTGTTTCCTTTCTGCTGCTTTGGCAGGGCAGTAACTGTAACCCTTACCGAACTGCAGCCTCATGCATTGGTACTTCACCATGACAAGGGCATTATCTGGATGACAGGTCATGCTTCAGAGCGTGCGCGCGGCCTTTTCTTCTGGGGCTGTCGCCAGCACCGTAGTGCTCTGCAAGCAGCTGAAATGACGTAGCTAGCTTCAGCAATAAGTTCTGCAATGGATAGCTCGTTGCCTTTCCTCCGTTTCACTGAGCTGGGTGGAAAAATCAAGTCACTTGTTAGGATTTTACTGAAGCTTTCCCTAGTCTCTGTGACAGGATGGTCTTTTGCTTTGCTATCCTAATGTTAAATGAGCAAGCTTATGTATAAATTTGGCATTATTTGGGTAAAGGAAGCTATGCCTTACCTTCAGTTTTTAACAACTGAAGGTAACTTGATTATTTGTGGTCTCCACAGGCATGTCCTTTACATGAGTGCTTCCAAAGAAATATGTAATGTTACTTTTCAATATAGCCTTGATTGTCACTTCAGTCTTCAAGGACTTTATTGCTATTGATTTTTCCTTCAGTAGTGGCTTAGATTAGGTTTAGTCATAATCTTGTTTACCTGTGTAAAACATTAAGGCTTTTTAGCTTGAGGCTTGTATATGGGTTTTCACAAAGCAATTGCACTTGCTGTTGATGACCAAAACCTGACTCTGAAATGTTTTAGAGGGTAGCAGACCGGCTATATGGCGTCTATAAAGTCCATGGCAACTATGGAAGAGTATTCAGGTAAGACTTCATCCAGTTTTTAAGTATATACGTAGAGATGTGGAGAGAGAGAGAAAGGGAAGGCAATTTTTTCATTATACTTCTGAAAAGTATTGCAGCATATCTGAAACATTTCAGTGTCTGCCTTGAAAAACTTTGTATTGCAGTACTAGTGATATTTCTGTGTTGGATACAGTGATCTCTGATCTGCTGGGCTGAGTCTGTAGTGGAAGACTTCAGCTTTTTCTTGCTTTTATTCCGGACCTTTGGGGCTGTGGCTGTTGTGTTGGCATTCTCTTTCTTCAGAAAAGTAACTTACTACCTACTTTCATGCAGTTGTCTCTGAAAAGCTTCCAGGTCCTTTTAATGGTTAAAGATCAACAGCTATATCCAATTTTAGTACCTTTTTTAAGTGAATTTGCCAATCGTTTTTTGATTTATATGAGTGAATTGCACGCTCAAGTTTTCCATCTCACTGGAGAATTAAAGAATCTAAACTTCTGGTTAAGGGAAACCTCCTGCTTCTACACACTGTTCAAGTGCTAAATTTAATTCTCTGGGTTAATGGATTGCAGATGTCTTTCTCATTGGGGGTTTTAAAGTGAAATTAGGTGTAGTTCTGTAATAACACAAAGACAAACAAATGTCAACATCAGCAGAGTGGAATGTTTATGAAAAAGTGAGGGACAGAATAGATGCATTAGACATAATTTATCTGAAATATAAAGGGACCCCCTCCTTTTTCCTTGTAAAGCTGTGGATGTGAGTCTTGTAACTAAGAAATATCACAAGGTTTCACAAAGCTGAGAACACAGTTAAGTTGCAGGGTATGTACTTGGATGTCCAGAATAAGGCTCTTGCTCTCTGTCTTGTAGCTCTGTTTATCTAAGTGATCTCCGAATGGGACTAGGTAGTTATAGTAATGAGACAGTTACAAGTTGATATCTTTTTTTAGTTAATAGGACTAAACAGCAGTCTGCTGTGAAAACAGAAACTTCTCTCTCCAAAAAACAGCAGTTTGGATTTGACATTTGCAAGCATTTTGCCACTCTTAGAAATCAACATAGAGCAAATGATTTCATCTGATGTGTTGTGAATCTGGGAAGCTTAGCTTCCTTGATGAGCCTGTTCATACCAAATTCTGGTTTAGAAAGTTTCCCCTTCCACACCTCCTTTTATTTTAAATGCCAGTATTGTGGTGTTTGGATTTTTTTTTTAATTATTATTAATTGAGTTTTAGCTATTTAAACAAGACTCAAAAGCAATCCCCAACTAAGTATATTTGTGAGAATGATTTTGGGTGGCAGGGACAACTGTTTAACAGACTGCCATTAAATAGCCTTGCCACATTGTCAGTGTGCTGCTTGGAGGAAGAAAACAGTTTGGCAGGGTCTAACTTTGAGGCAGTTTCCATTCAGGTGTCACCTGGAAAGAAACTATATACAGGATGCAGCTTATTAACTTCCCTTCCCCTTCATGTGTGATGTTGTTTCTCGTTTGTTTTTCCTACAGTGAGTGGAGTGCAATAGAAAAGGAGATGGGGGATGGGTTGCAGAGTGCTGGCCACCACATGGATGTGTAAGTACTGACTGAATATCTGATAGTTTGATGTAAGCCAGATGTAGAACTCTCCCTCTTTCCTCTCTTTTCCCTCAACCCCAAAGTACATACGAGTACCGAGAAAGCTGGGGGTGCGTTGGTTTTGGGTCTACAGCGTTTCTGTGACTTGGATGCAGGCGCAATTTTAGCATCCATGTACTGTATTAAGTAGCTCAAAAGGTCTCAGGAGAACCAGAGGGGTTTCTTTTTTTATTATTATTTTGAAATTGTAGAAGCGTTTGGAATTCTTCCAGTTTTTCTTCTAAGCTACTATGCCAGAAACTGGTGGAATACAACTTTAATGTACTGCAGACCTGATGAGATCCATTTGGTTTGGATAGCAGCATTTTGTACCACGCGGTAGATGGTACGCAGGTTTGGACTTAATTACAGAAAGTTAAGAGATTTAATTAATCGGCACCAAAACTCAAATGGATTCTTGAAACAAATACTGACTGGATGTAATAAAGTAGAGAATCCTCCCTCTTTGTGTCTTCAGAGTCATTTGGCAGGGTATGCGAAACACAGCCTTCAAAATAAGAGTCCAGCCCTTTGGAGTGCTCACAGCAGTGGTATCCTAGGCTTGGGCTTTCTGCTTTTCAGGTAGCCATGTACAGTAGGTGAAACAGTACAGTTTCTCATCTATAATTGCATAGTACAGATAAGTAACAACTCCAGCAAGAGATGGAAGCTGTTGGACACTTCTTCATACAGTATTTTTACTGATAAAGCGTAATGTCTGCATACTACAGTACACAGTATGCAGACATTGAAGAGATTATGAAAACACAGTGTGATGTAGAGTTCAGGAGGCACAAGTGGGTTTTCAGTGGTTCAGATGGATCACCCTAGATGTCAAACACCCAGAAATGTGTAACCAACTAAAAGAATTGGGTCTCACTTCTCAATCAGAAGGCTAAACCCTCTCCACACAGCCAAGATGTTCGATGTCTGTCACACAGTTAGGGTTAGAGATCCGGAGTAACGGCAGCGAGTTTCTGGGTGACTTTATTCACGGCGTGAAGTCTGAGTCGCTTCCGTTGCCTGTCACCTCTTCTGCTCTGGCACTCTCATACAGCAATTATCTCTTAGTGACAATCAAGCAAGAAGCAGCAGCTGTGAGATTCAGTGACCCCTGGGGTCTCCTACCAGTAAGGATCATATCTGTGATCTCCTGAAAGTCTAACTTACCAGGCCAGTTACCGTTCCCATAACACGAGGCAGGAGTTCATTGCAACAGAAAGCTACTTCAAGAATGTTGCCTAATATAGTTGTTAAACTTCAAGGCTAATTTAATTACTCTCTATCTACCCCATATGCTGTGGTCTTTACTAGATGTTTAGTTAAACTTTTGAGTTGTTATTGTTTAGTATGATCTAAAACTGCTTGATATTTGGAGAAGACATCCCAAAGCACCTCTGGGGGTGTGTTGGATGACGGGATGAAGCTTGCCGAAGTGATAGGAGACAACGGAACATGCCAGGAAAGCTCGAGTGGATGGCTGTAATGCCATCATTTCAAAGATGAAAGAAAAAAGGCCAGACCCTTGACTTCTGTCCTTTATGCTATTAATGAGTGATCCTTTATCTCTGTATCAACTAGACTGTCGTTGCAAGTGGAAGCTGCCTAAACTAAAACAGGGGTTTAGCTGATGATTCCCATGAAAAGTGGGAACATATTAGATATTAGAAGGTATGTGCAGTGTTTCTCCTTATCATTTCCCCCTGTTTGGGACAAACCAGTATTTAAACTTCAGCACAGGCAGTCAGGAATATAGCTTGTCTTACTACTTTTTTCCAAATAAAACTGAAGCGTCATTTGAAAACCTTGTCTAGGCAAGGTGACTTTTTGTTTGGTGGGTTTTTTTGTTAGTTTTTTTGGAGAGCTGTTCTGCCACAGGTGAGCTCTAGCACTGCTCTAAACTTAGAACGAACTTAGAACTGAAATGTGGCCCATCTGCTGCCCTAAGAAATCAAACCACTATACTAAAATTACTGCACTTTGGAACTTAAAAATAGAGAGGGTGACTTATGACCTGTGTAACTGCAGGATTTTTTCAGAACAAGTATATTTTTCAACAGTTTGGACTTCTTCCTTACTTTGATTCATAATGTGAATTCTTGTTATGCCTGTTCTTTTATCCTTTCTACTTAAACTCATCTGCTGTTGCTGGTCACTTTGTATGTTATGCTTTTTTGTCCCAAATAGCTTTGGTGTAGGGCCTTTCCCAGTTGTGTCACGTCTTTTGATTTTGCAGAGCATCAGAACAACTTATGTTACTTGTATGCTTGTAAAATTCACACTTGAGCAGGTGGGCACATCTACAGCTCTTCCTGCAGTCGCCCTGTTCTTCCAGTTATCCCGCAAGTAGCCACTCGCGCTCTGAAGAACCTTGTTTCGCGTGCCCTGCTGAGTAGGCCTGAGGATGATGTTCAGCAGGACTGTCTCCCTCGGATACCTCCCTCAGATTCCCAGGGTCCAAGTGACATTGTTGTTTCTTTCAAAGCTCTTATGGAGGGATTTCTTGTCCTCTCCCAAGTCACGTTACCAGTTCCCGTTCAGCTTGAGACTCTGCTGCTTGTTCCACAGAGCCATTTACTGGCAAGGTACAGGAAAAAAGGGTAAAATTCAGACTTTACAAAAACTTTGAGGGCAAGGGGTGCTGCAGTTAACGTTTGGGTTGCGTTGTGCTGGTCACTAGACAAGCGTGGACGTAGGCTGGCTTCAGAGAGCCGGCAGCTGCGCAAGGGACTGCCACATACTTGAGAATCCAGACTGAGCTGGCAGAATAGGTAAAGGCATTTGTGATGGGGACTCGTTCATCCCGTGTATGTCCAGTGGCACACGCCCTGCGTAGCTGGCTGGAATGACATCCTATTTCTGTCGCTCTGCCAAGTGAGATGCGCAGTTACTCTGAGCTGTAGGCCTGTCCCTGCAAATGTGGGCAGTCATCTTGGTTAGTGAGAACTTACTAAATACTGTCCAGTAAGCAATATAAACTAGAAAAAGTGCTTTTTGCCATTTTTAGGAGACTTGAGCCTAAATCACAAAACTCTTACTGAATGCAAGATCTGTAGAGTTGGTCCAAACCCTTGTACTTCAGATTTCTCCCTAAGAGGAAGGCTTGAACTTCTTGTTGCTCTGAACTGCTATGCCTGACTTACACAGCAGACAAAGCAACAGACTTCCAAGGAGCTGAAGGACGTAATGTTGTCATGTTCAGAGCACCACTGTGAGTTCTCTCATACTCTGCCTGAATAATGAACAATGAAAGCAGCCCCTTTGCTTTTCAGAAGGTGTGATGTTCATGTTCCTATGTCTTCATGCTTTAAGCCTTGCAGGATTTCTTCTGCACCATGTGTCTCTTGCCTTGGTGCTGCCTTTGACAGTCCACTGAAGAAAAGGAGTAAGTGGTTGTTCTTTCCTGTAATAAAAACT